ATTGTGACATTTGCTAATCTAAGTACAGTTAAGATGGCACTCATATTATACATTTTCTTTAGGTCGAATGTTCTAATCTTCATCTCACATTCATTATAATAAAAAGATATATTGATTATTATAATTACACCCATAAACTTTTAATCGTAAAAATTAAACCCTCGATCTTTTATAAGTGAAGAAGTTACCTCTATACTAAACCATTAAATTTCTTTTAAGTGGAAACGTTGGACCATTTCTAATTATCTTTATCTCACCTTCCCTCCCTCTCTCAACTCTCTATTTTCAACCACTTTTCAGAGCATTAATGACACATTAATCCATTCTTAAAAACATCAAAATATCTGTGTCCAATTAACAGAAAATTTAACTCATGTACTTGTAGATATGTTTTAGAGCAGAATGTCACAAGTCTCTGTTATGGAGATGAAGGGAGTCTTCTTGAGGCAATCATGGACTCGGAATAGTTAACAAAACAAAGTCTCTTTCTCTCTCTAAAAATTACTTGAAGGTTTAGAACAACGTGAGAAATTTGTCCTTTCGTTAGGCATCGGCCTTAAGATGGTAACAGATGTCTTATCTACTTTAACTATGTTCGAGTTGACCATTTTGAATCTTTATCAAATAGTTATTGAGAGGCAAACGAATTTCGAACCTGTATGTAGCAGTAACCAAATTACAAATGTCACGCCACCTAACTTGATGTTGAAGCTTTCTACCACCATCTTTTGTTTGTACAAAGGGTTAGGATTAGTATATTAAGATTTTTAGTAGTTTTAATAAGTTTGAGTTTGTCACTTGGGTTAAATCATAAGTCTAGTTCTTAAACTTTTTGGGTTGGGTTGAGTCTATTTTCGACGAGTGTACTTTTAAAAAGTTTCTAACACCTCTCTGAATTTTCAATTGTGAGTTTAATAAATAATTTTTTGTTATTAACTTTGTTGAATTTATTTGTTATTTTATATAGGCTATGGGGCAAGTTTTCATTTCAAACAAGTCCCCTGGTGACGTAAAGTTTAAACTAACATAGTAATAACAAAATTGAGTTCAACAACACATGATTGGAGTAAGATATAGATCGACCAAAATCTTATTAAAAATTCAAACTTCCACCTTTTTCACGAAGAATATATATCTTAACTACTTGAATGATGCTTGAGTTGATTCAAAATAACATATTAATTTTTTTAAATATATACATATTATATTCATTTATTTAATTAAAATCTATTAATTTATGCCAGCTATTATTTTTATTAGTATTCATTCAACATGGCGAGATCGAACCATTGAACTATGTAATGGTAACAAGTGCTATTTTTATTAACTAATTAATATTAAAATTATTAGTTGGGATTGAAGCATTGATTTTCCAATTCTTGTGGGAGTAATACAAATTAAGCTAAAGAAAGATGGCGTTGCTCCAAGAGAGATGCAATGTAGTCGTCAAACATCTCTTCCACAGACTTAAACTTGATCCCCAACTTCTCAACCTTTGATGTGTTGAAGTCATAAAATGGTCTATTTGATGCCTCAAACCTGAAAAAGTGCCCAACCATTTTCACATCATTCTCAACACACTTTTAACTTACAAATAAAAAATAAAAAATATGTCCGAGTTTAGCTTGACATACTTTATGTAGTTCGAGACTTTATTCTATTTCAATCCCTACACTTTCAAACGTCCAATTTTAGTTTATGTACTTTCAAAAGATCTTTAAATTAACCCTTACCGTTCTTTTGGAGTTAATCTCCAACAATAAATTGCTATAGTAATAATTTCTATTCAAGACAAAGTACAATGTGACTATTTCTCAAATTTCTAGACGAAAGGCTTACAGGGTAGGGACTAGACTTTTCTAACAAAAATTAACCGTGGGACTAAATTTTATTAAGAATCTAAATTTAGACATTTGAAAGTACGAAGACTGGCATGAAACAAGTCTAAAAATACAGTGACCAAAATAGTATTTTAAATAAAAATTTAAGTATTATGGTTGATGAAAGCCAAACCTTTTCGGGATAGGGTAGGAAGGATAGCGCGATGATAGGAGCGATACCAATTCATAATTTTCCAGCACAGTTGAGGAGCAAAGGTATCTCCCTTGAGCATCTTTGTTCTCAAAAACAAGGATATGGCAGAGGGCAGCATCATCAATGTGGACATATCCTATCCTTCCAAGTGACTGGAATTGCTCTGTTTCCCCTGCATTGTTTCCACAAAAAACTCAGTCTATATAGCTTCCAAAAGATAGGCTGCATAATTGCAAGCCACTGAAGTTTCACACACCTTTAAGCAGGCCAAGAACACTAATTGCTGTATAACATAAATCGGGCGACAAACTAGGCCCAATGATCAGCGAAGGGAGCACGGTTACTA